AAACCCAAAAGTTGCCAATTTAGGGTTTTGTAGGAAAAGTCAACTCAACTTTGACCAAGCACAACTTTCTCATACTTTATCAAGAATGACCCATCCAAAGCTCATTTTGAAGAGGATGCAATTCATTACAATTCATCTTCAGCTCCCAAGCTCAGAATATGCACTCACAAAAAGATGTGAATTTTGACATTATAGGTCATCTTGAAAAGTCAACAAAAACACCTTTTGGGTCAAAGCTTCATACATGAATATGGAAGACTCAAATGAGATGAGACCAAAAGGGTTGCTTAGGGGACATACCAATATTTCTAAAAAGTCCAAGAACATCCTCCTAGGGTAAAAATTGAAGGAGATATGCCTTGTCAAAGTTGGCCATTTTTGGAAATTTACACAAAGTCAACAATGCTCAAAATTGCATTTTTTTCACATGGGCCCATCTTTTCAAGATTGAATCTAATTCCTAGAATAGTCCATGACCCATGGGACCCTCCATGCTTTATTTATTTGTTTATTTAATTTATTTTGATTTTTATTCATTTAAAATTCAAATAAAATCAAATAAATCTAAATAAGTCATATAATGTGTTTTAGGGATGATTTTTGCATTGAAGGAAGATCTTATGTGTTGTCAAATGAGAAGCAAATCGTGCAAGCCAAGAATAGACACAAAATATCCATATTTGGGCAATTGTTCAAGATTTGATTTTCTCTTAAAACCATGCCATTATTCTTTGGATTCTTTCCAATTATGTTACCCTAGATTGATTCACTACTTATGCCATGATCCTAAAGACCTAGAACAGAAGTTTTCAGACGGGCAACTTGCCTCAAAGTGTCAAACAAAATTCCAAATTTTCAAAGAAAAGTGAAGATTAGATCTTGCTCTATAGGCCGTTTCAAACTTTTCCAAGGATCAATTCACATTCCCAGGCACACACTGAACATGTAGCAAGCATTCAGACGACCTGAAACCTCAAGAATCGTGTTCTACGCCTCCCACGGTTTGTCCAAAAATTTGATTATGATTTCATTAATCCACATATATTTAGTGCTTTTGATTTACATACTCATGTTTATCATCATGTTTGCAAGCTAATCATTCTATTCACTTTTTGATGACTATATGCGAAACTGCCATGGCTAGGGTTTTGTGTTCTTGTTTAGGGCTTTGCAGTATAGGCTAAATTGGACGTTGATTCTGGTTCTATGATACTCGTGAGGATGAGACGAGTTGATTGGTACCAGCCATGATCATTTATCTTGCTTGTGGATAATTTTTGAGATGTACAGGTCTGTACCTACAATGAAACGTCTGTAGGTAAAAGCTTGTTTACCTAAAATGACGGTTTGGTGAAGAAGACGATGCGTGGCACTCCCTGGTTGGGTGGTTTAAATTTTAGCGCGTTTTTCCATTAACCATTATTTTTTCATATATTATATTTTGTTTTCATTATATGTACAAACAAGTCAAGCAGCTCAGTTGGCAAGCGTGCATTGAAAATATGCATAAGGACATGGGTTCGATCCCTAGGTCCCAACCTTTCTTTGCATTATTTTATTCCATGTGATCAGGTGCACTGCTTATACAGGTGTCCACCATATGCCCTTAACATCTGGCCATCAATCACGTCTCTAGCCCAGATCCAAGGCTTCTCCCTTGAAGGTCCACCATACACTCCAGGTCAACATGGACACCAGATCCAACAAAGTCAATTGGGCTTGGATCATTTGGGCACAGAATTTCAGCAATATACCCCCTAATTGCTAAGCACAGACCCATCATTATTTTCTTATTTCTTTTATTTTATTTATTTATTTTAATATTTTATTTATTCCTAATTCACAAACTTATCTTTTTTTTTATTTATAAATTCATAAAAATCAATAATTCACAAAAATTAGGATTAGTTTTTTTTTAATTATTATAAAAGTTAATTTAATTTAGTTTAACTTAGGAAAATTGTAATTTATTTTCATAAATAAAATCAAATAGAAATTAGGTTAAAACTCTTGATTTAATTTTATTTTCTCTTTTCATCAAGTAAATAAAAATACAAAAAATAGCTTTTTAGATTGAATTAATTTATTTTTCTTAGTTAAAATTAATTAGTGATTAGGTCTTCTTTTTATGCAATTATTTCATTATTTTCTTAAAACATGATTGAAACAACCGGTTGAAAATCATCAAACAATGAAGTCGCCATCGAACGTCTTTTATCGCACATGTAAGGAAAGGTAGACATCGAGAAAACCTGAGAAGGGAGAAGTCACGATCTTGCGACCGAGAGATCGGGTAAGGGAGTCTGTTACGCGAGGGGAAGGTATTAGAACCCCATACTCCCGTAGTACTCTACGGTATCCACTCTTGTTATATATCTTATGAGTGTGTTTAATCTATGCTTACTGTTTACTATACTATTGAAGGGAGAATTCATGCAAAAGAAAGGGGAAAACAATGTAGGGAAAATAAAATTGTGCTCGCTTGGGCCCTACCCCAATGCCTACGTATCCCTTTTGAGGAATCAGAGTTACCGTAGTTCAGCTCATACGTTTTTGTTTGTTTGTGTTTTTTATGGACGAAGTTAATTCTGCCTTCTGCCGCAGCTTGACCTTTGTAGACTTATGCGTTGGCACATAAGTAAATTAATCATGTCCTTACCTGAAAAGGGTTTTTTTAGAAAAAAGGGTGCTTGAGCGCACAAAATGGTTTGAATTGGTTTGTATTTTTGTTGCAGATAATGACTAGTTAACCTCAAGAGAGAGATATTAGCCGCTTTTCTACTTAGCCATAAAATGAGTCTTTGAGAATTGAACCACACCTAGACTTGAGATGAAGAACAATAATATCGAGAAGAGACCCGCTTATCATTTCCCATACTAAGAAAAGGCGTGATTCTCATCAATAGATTTAAAGTATTTTGAAGTTTGAAAAAGGAAAAAAAGAAGTTTTTGTTTTAAATGCATATGCAAAAAGGGGAGAAAAGTTAAAGGGAGATTAGCCTATTTATAAACCTAATGTTATCATACAATATTAGCCCTAAGTCAAGGATGAACAAAAAGGATATCTCTACCTAAAATTAGCATGCATATGGATTGCGGTAAAGTACGGAAATGAAGAATAAAATACAGTTGTGACGATACCGAACGGAGGAGGTCCGTTGCCTCTTCGAAACTGTGCAAGCGGTAAGAAAATTCTACCAAAGCTTCCTTGAACGAGTGATCGAAGAATTAACCCCGAGCATTCCACATCACAAGAGTTACATCGATACTATCATAAAAATCTTGACTAAAAACGACAATAAAAATGATTACAGAATAGTAAAAATAAAATAGTGAAAAACTCTAATTGGAATTCTAAAAAGAAATTCTAAAGAGTTCTAAAATATTCTATTATTCCGTATCATTCTATCACCAATTAATCAATAATTAATAGGAGAAAAAACTTAAATCAAATATTTAAACAGAGATGAAGTCAGGGGGTATAGTGTTGAAATCAGGGTGTGTGACCAATATTGGGGCGCTGGGCTTATCAATAATGAAATCCAATTAGTTTTTGTGACAAGGCTCCAAGCTCCAAAAAAAGAGAAACGCAGTATGGGTCCAAAGGAAGTGAAAGCTTCAGTCCAACACCATTACAAAATAAAATTTTTTTTGAAAGGGAATAACAACGTGAAATTAGGGTTGCAGTGTCTTCCACTTCACAAAACCTCTTCTCCCTTTCTTCATGCTCAGACGACACATTGCTCTTCATCTTTCCGCCTCTCATTCTTCAGCGCAACCTCAACACCTCCTCCACGGACCCTCTCCGACTTACTCAACATACCCCGTACGATTCACATTTATATCATTCTCAAGCTACGCTCCGATCTGGACTCAAACTCCTACGACTCACAGGAAAGCAATGAAGAAAATGGAGCTTATATACTAGAGACACTTCGGTGGTGCTTCAGACGCCAGCGAATATGACGAGAGATCCAAAGAATGTCCGTTTCTTCTATTGATGTTTTCCGATTCCAAATGATCCTTGTAATTTTGAGTTTCTATTGATATCATTATTGTTGGTCTGTGTAGTGAAGTGTTGATGGCGATACAAAGAAATCGCATATTCGTTATAAAGCCGTGATGAGAGGATGAAGATTGGCGATGTTCGCTGCGTAGATGATGAAGATGGATACCGAAATACAGTGAAATCCAGAAAGAGATAAGATCATGTTGAAGCCGATGAAGATTTTTGAATTACAGATATTGAAGATTCTTGAAGAATTGTTGAATCGCCATGATGATGATGAATATTTACTGAATCGTTAATATAGTTCTGAAGCACGGTGTCGATTGAAGCGTCGAAGATTGAAGAAGATGCGGTGAGAGTGCAGAGGAATTTGTTGGAGCTCTTCTTGTGATTCTTCCCTGATTATGAAGAATTATGATGATGACCAATAAGGACTGAAGCCGAGTAGTGATACTCTTCGGTTTCAGAAATTGCAGGGAGAGGATTGAGAAGTTTCTTGTGATTTTTTCTTGGTGAGTTTTTTGTGTTGGATAATTATCCATGTCTATCATCCTCCCCCTCTTCTTCTGTTATATATATTGCTGAGGGCTAAGTTAGAAGTCGGTTATAGAAATCAGTTTGGGAAGTTGGTTATTGCAGTTATGTAGAAAGTTAGTTAAAAGTTTTGGGAATTCTGTTTTTGGTTAGCAGTTTCTTTTAGGAGTTTGTTAGAAGCGGTTAAGGAATGTGTTTGGCAGTTGGTTCAATTTTGTTAGTTTAGATCTACTATTTCTGTTAAATAGTTAGGAGGTTGTAGGTTAATTGGACTATTAGTTTGTTAGTTTTGAAAGTTCGTGTAATTTCTGTTTCATAGGGCTTTGTTAGGAAGTTAGAAATTCAGTTATAGTTGGTTATGGAGCTAGGAAACTTAGTTGGAGTTGATTAGAGGTTAATTGAGGCCATTGCAGGTTAAAGGCTTCACACAATTCATTACTCTTGTTTCAGTTACTGTTTAGTCAAAGGAGCCTTCTTCATCAAGCCAAATATCAACTAAGAAATCTACCATCCCAGGCAATGGTATGCACTCCGCAAAATATTCACCAGTAGAAAGCAGATCTTCATATGATGTCGACCAGCTAATAATTGGATCCTTAGGCGTTCTTGGGGAATTCTGAGACTTATCGCCGACCCACTCTTTTTTATTCTCGTGCCAAGCATTTGCGGCGTGATTGACAAAAGTGGAAGTTTGTTTTAAATTTTGCTTTACATTGGAATGAAAATATTTATAGGTGTTTTCGCTTGATCTTTTAACTTCAATTGCAGATTTAGAATGCTTCAAAGTTTGTTCCCCATTGGAATGCATCGTTTCAGCACAAACCTCCATTGCATCCAACAATAGTTCTAGAATGAATACTTATAATTATATCCTTCTAAAGATTAGAATTACCTCTCTAAGCTTCGTTACGGTTATTGCTGATTGAATGTCACAGGATTTGAAAAGTACGAATGCTTGTTAATCGTTGCAGATGTTTGACCCATTAGATGAATCGACGGGGAAACCGAAGAAAATCACTACTACAAAAAATGGGTTTTGGTCCAAACAAGGATTCACCATAAGAAACAGCAAAAGGTGCAATCTTTTTTCACTTCTGTGGGCGTGTAGCAACTTGCAAGATAAGTTGTCTGTAAAAAAGTGCTTTTTTGAATATTCGGTTTTTTTAGATTTTGGATAATTGAAGGGTTGTCTTGGATGGTTTTGTGTGCAGGGCTGCCTTGGTACAACAATCTATTGGTGTCAACTGCTCGAATCAAGAGGGTAAAAATATGAAGTCATAATGAAGCATGGTCATGGTTGCATAAATTCGGCGAAGATTGAAGCTTGTTCGTGTAGCTTAGGAACTTAACAACTTAGGCATAGACTTAATTTGTAAAGTCTTTTTCTTCTGTCAAAAGTCCAAAAAAGTAACGGTAATCATGAAGATTTTTCCATGTAATGCCTTGTAGATTCGCATATAATTTTTTTTCAAGTATTCAAAGCGTTTTCACCCGATGTTGTGATATCAATGTAGCACGATTAACCATGTAATGGTATTACAATGATATTGGTAATGTAAGCTTCTTGTAAACTCTTGAATTTTAATGATGAAGCCCAAATACTCCAAGTAATCTTCTCTTCCAACTTGTCTTTTGTATCTCCATGATGTTTTAATTTTGTGTTACATATAACTCCATAGATATGACATGAATTTAATAAGAGCCCTTGCCAAGAATGAATTTGTAGTGTTGAGTTTCTTTTCTTTTGAATGAAAACTTGTCTAAATCTCTTCGAATGAATGAACGAGCCTTGCATCTTTCTTAATCCCCACTTCAAAACCACAATTGAAGAAACTTTAGATTTTGATTTGAAATGAAGTCCCTAAAGTATATTGTGTCACAAGTGAACCAATAGGTCCGATGAAGAGCTTTGCATCATAAATTGTACAAACTCCAATTTGCAAAGACTATCCCATTGAATCCTCGTGCCTAGAGCTCATATACCTTGAGTTTCAAGTAACATCTAAACTTTATTTGATGAAGAAAGGACCATTTAAAATCCTAACTTGTAAAGGACAGGATTTTTATTATATGATAAGCTCATTGTATGACATAGCGAAGCATCCCTGAATAAGACCCTGTTGGCTATGGATACACCAAAAATCTTCAACCACTCGTACTTCAAGTAATGATAGAACACCTTTGAAATTTATTGATGAAAAAATACACATGGAACCCCTCTTAAAGTCCACATGATTAGGGAAATAAATCATCATTCATATGGAGATGATAGGTTTAAGACGATGGCCTTCACTGCTTGAGCTTGTAGCCTTTGGAGATAGCCTTAGGATGACCTGCAATTGAAGTGGCACGCATTTGACGAGAAAAAACAAATCCACGATGTTGGAGAAGGAGAGCCTCAAGATAACCACAAGATCGGGCCCTAATCCAATGATCCTCAGTTGAAGTCAGATGAAAACCCTAATCCTTAACCCTTAAAGAAAGATTGCAACTTGATGTTGAGAAAAAGAATATCCCTGTAGCTTGATGATAATGAAATCCAGGAAATAAAACCCTAGCTTCAAACAAAAGATTGATAGAGAAATAAAATGATATAAGCTTGTGCGAAGATAAGAGCCTTAAAGCCATACAACAACCCTAATTCTTCAATATCATTGATCCCGAGCTAAATTTATTGACTAATGAGGCATGATGCGTTAGATGACCTAATGAAGGTTGTGTACATGAGAAAACTGTGAGATGCATAAGCCAGATAAAAGTAAAAGGGTAAGACAAATTTTGGGTATTACAGCTTCCCCTATTTAATCGTCTTGAACCTGAAAGTACGATTGGCGCGTGCCTTTCAGAAGTTCAAGGTTGACGATGATTAAATACCAATGCCAAAAATTTGTTCTGGGAGAAAGCGTGAGTGTTTCTTTTTTATTTATTTCAATATCCGTTGGGGGAAAGAATTACTACTTTTTTTATTTTAGTGAAGAGACGGAAATTAGACTTGTAACGTGACGTGATGCCAATACGAGACAAATGGTTGGTATGAAAAGACGGCGGACGAGGTCTACGGGCGACCTACGATCCTAAGGTGAAACAATGAGAGTGATTTGATAGAGAATATAGCCTAAGGGCGATCCCAAGTTCTAAGACAAAATATATGGAAAGAACCTAGCCAAGAGGCAATCTCGGGTTTGACGATGATTTGAGGGAAGAACCTAGCCAAGAGGCGATCTCAGGTTCGACGGTGACAGTATTGGGAAGAACCTAGCCAAGAGGCAATCTCAGGTTCGAAGATGATCTATGGGAATAACCTAGCCTACGGGCGATCTCAGGTTCGAAGATGATCTAAGGAAGAACCTAGCCAAGAGGCGATCTCAAGTTCGAAGATGATCTATGGGAAGAACCTAGCCTACGGGCGATCTCAGGTTCGAAGAAGATCTATGGAAAGAACCTAGCCTACGGGAGATCTTAGGTTCTAAGAAGATCTATGGGAAGAACCTAGCCTAGAGGCGATCTCAGGTTCTAAGAAGATCTATGGGAAGAACCCAACCTATGGGCGATCTCAGGTTCTAAGAAGATATGAGGAAGAACCTAGCCAAGAGGCGATCTCAGGTTCGAAGATGATCTGAGGAAGAACCTAGCCAAGAGACGATCTCAAGTTCGAAGATGATCTATGGGAAGAACCTAGCCCATGGGAGATCTTAGGTTCGAAGAAGATCTATGGGAAGAACCTAGCCTACGGGAGATCTTAGGTTCTAAGAAGATCTATGGGAAGAACCTATCCTAGAGGTGATCTCAGGTTCTAAGAAGATCTATGGGAAGAACCTAGCCTACGGGCGATCTCAGGTTCTAAGAAGATCTGAGGAAGAACCTAGCCAAGAGGCGATCTCAGGTTCGAAGATGATCTGAGGAAGAATCTAGCCAAGAGGCGATCTCAGGTTCGAAGATGATCTATGGGAAGAACCTAGCCTACAAGCAATCTCAGGTTCTAAGAAGATCTATGGGAAGAACCTAGACTACGGGCGATCTTAGGTTCGAAGATGATCTATGGGAAGAACCTAGCCTAGAGGCGATATCAGGTTCTAAGAAGATCTATGGGAAGAACCTAGCCTACAGGCGATCTCAGGTTCTAGGAAGATCTATGGGAAGCACCTAGCCTACGGGCGATCTCAGGTTCTAAGAAGATCTATGGGAAAAACCTAGCCTACGGGTGATCTTAGGTTCGAAGATGATCTATGGGAAGAACCTAACCTAGAGGGGATCTCAGGTTCTAAGAAGATCTATGGGAAGAACCTAGCCTACAGGAGTTCTTAGGTTTGAATATGATCTATGGGAAGAACCTAGCCTAGAGGAGATCTCAGGTTCTATGATGATCTATGGGAAGAACCTAACCTATGGGCGATCTCAGGTTCGATGATGATCTATGGGAAGAACCTAGACTACGGGCGATCTTAGGTTCTAAGATGATCTGAGGAAGAACCTAGCCTACAGGCGATCTCAGGTTCTAAGAAGGTGACGATATTGGTCGCGACACGATAAAGAAAAGGAAGACATCGATCAGGACACGATGGTTCGAAGAGAGGTATCGATCAGGACATGACAGCTAATGGGAATACATCGATCAGGACACGATGATTAAAAGGGAGGTAGCATGATGCAAACACCAGGACATAGAAGACTTGTAACATGGCATGATGCCAATACAAGGAAGAGATCGGACTTGTAACGTAGCGTGATTCCAATACAAGGAAGGTATAACACGGACGAGTGTTTGAATCAATATGGACGAGTATTAAAAGAAGATACGAACGAGTATCAAAAGTTAAACATAGACGAGTGTTTGAATCAATACGGACAAGTATTGAAAGAAGATACAGACGAGTATCAAAAGTTAAACACGGACGAGTGTTTGAATCAATACAGACGAGTATTGAAAGAAGATACGGACGAGTATCAAAAGGTTAAACACAGACGAGTGTTTGAATCAATACAAACGAGTATTGAAAGAAGATACAGACGAGTATTAAAGGTTAAACACAGACGAGTGTTTGAATCAATACAGACGAGTATTAAAAGAATATACAGGCGAGTATCAAAAGGTTAAACACGGACGAGTGTTTGAATTTGAATTATTTGTCAGACAGGAGTTGGCTACCAGAAGAAAACTGGGTCTAGAGTGACAAAGTGTATTGATTTTGTTGGGTATGGAAAATGTGAAGGTCATCGACTGGGGGTTTTGGGGATGATATCCTTTTGTAGGGATGTATTGTTGTCCTTGAATAATTCAGGTCTTTCGTGTAAGGTACCTGATCTGGCCTATGCTTTGTATGCATGTTTGAATTTCTTTTGCCGCAAAGATCCATTATAATGGATCGGCTACGTGCTTTTGAGGATGAAATGTTATGCAGTGATAACTATATGCAGTGAGAAGAAATAAACTTCATGGGGATAAGCTAAAGCTTGCAGGGAACCATTGCTCATCACTGGGGATACCAATATATATCGGTGCTGGAAGTATGCAGTACCAAAGATCGCTGGGGATACTGATAAGAATTTGCACTGGGGAGTTCACAATACCGCAGATTATTGATGACTCTGCTGAAGATTGAATTGCTGATGAAGTGAGTCTTAAGATACGCTGCTGAATTTTGAATCGTGCCGATAGGGAAGAGATAATCTGGCCAGACTCCCATATATCCTGAACTGTCAAGGGGATGATAAAACTGAATATGTCGAAGAATGGATACTGAACACCATGTAGATCTCTTTGAATACAAGCCCCAAGTTTACGCACACTGGGGAATTATCTCTTGAATAACTTGGGGATAAAAGATGGGC